CAGAGCTCGAGTCCAGGGCCTGGTCTGTGCGTGGACTTGTGCTTCTTGGCTGCATTCAGAGCTGGTGGTAACCTGCCGGGAGGCGGAAGACAGAAGCTGCTCACAGAAGCCCTTGTTGCAGGATCTTGGGCATTATTTAGGCAAAACCCTCCAGCCTGGGTTGGGCAAGAAGTCAGGTTAGATCGTTAGAGCGGTCCTAGCTGGCCTGAAAGCCGCCCAGCTGGCTGTGCCCTGGCGTGGGGTGAAGGGCCGGATTTCTCACAACAGCAGAAACGGGGCAAAAGGGAGGGAGAAGACTCTCGATGCTCTGCTTCCAAAACCAAGGTCTGTTTTTGCAAAGAGCTCAGCACCTGTGCTGCTCTGCCTCGGGAAGCCTTCTTGCTGCGTGTGTGTCCTCGGAAGGGTTGGCTTTCTTACCACTCCCCTCCTCGGGGATGTGAGTGCTGTGCCTTGACAGACGGGGTTTAGTTCTCTGCCTCGGGGTGCCCTTGGCTGCTCGCTCTTTGGGAAGCTGTGAAACTGGCTTTGTGCCTCCTGCCAAGATCAGGCTCCAGGGGGGCATATTTTTATTTTTTTTCCAGAAGAGAACGTGTGCTTTTGCTGGCAAGCTCTGTGTCTACACACTGCCTCCTTCCAAACTCATGATGCCAACCGTGTTTTTATATATTTACTTCCTTTATAAGGACATCAGCAGGCACCCCACCCTTCCCGAGTTTTGCGTCCCTTGACAGGCTTCAATGTCGCAATAAATCCTCAAATACAATGGCAGGTTCCTCCCAGAACTAAAATAACGGTAGACTTCACTAGAGAACTCTGCACCCAGGGGTGAAACGTGTTCCCTGCTTGACATCTCTGAAATGCTGGGCACAGCACCGTGCCCACGGGGCCGTAGTCTCTGGCAGGCCGGGCTAGAGGGGAATCCTCGCCCCGCTGCAGCCCGTGCGGTCGGGATCTCATCCCCAGGCTGTGCTGGCGTGGGGAGCAGTGGGTTTTCCTGCCCTTTCTGTCCTTCGGGCAGGGCAGCCTTTCCCACCCAGACTGCAGTCAGACACGCTGTGGCATTTCGCCTTGATGTGATGCTTTCTGGTGACAATTTACAGCGACCAACATCGTGGTACAGCTGATGCGTGTGGAGCAGCGGAGACAGGCGCCATGAGAAGGCCCTGCAGGAGCTTCGGTCCCTCTCTACTGATTATAAAGAGAGCCTAGAGAGATTAGGCTTCTAACGTAGATGCCTTAATTAAGTGCCTGAGGATTAGATGGCGTGACTCTGACCCCAAACGTCCCTCTGGGCAGATGTTGAATTGGCACTGAACTGGAACACGGGTCTGGAAGAGACCTTCTCAGCTGTTACGGCTCTGGGAGCCATGTTTAGCCCGAAAGCATTGAGGGACTGCACTTCTGTCCCACCCCGAGGCACGCGGGCCTGCAGAACTCCTTCCCAAGCTTGCAGCAAACTTGCGGCCTTTGTAGGTGTTGATGGGTTTCGTTGTTTTATTAGTACTGTACCACAGATGGAGGAATCAACAGTGTCACCCGTGTCTTGTATCGTCGGGGGGAAGCTGGGTGAAAGTGCCCAGCCAACCTTCAGAACTGCGTCTTACCCTCGAACTACAGAAGGCGGCAAAAAGCAGGGGACAGGACCCCTTCGTGGCCCAAATCTGGTGACCGGTTGAGGCTGCGTGTGCGAGCAGGGTGCATCCCGCAGGCATCAGTAGGTGGGTAGCGAACAATGAAATGCAATGCCGGTGCTTAGACCGTCTGGCTGGGTGAACCTCACCATCTCCGCTGGGCCAAACTGATGTTTGATATAATTTCAGCGAGGCTCAGCAAGTTACAAGAGTGCCAAATTAGAGTGATTGCCTGTGATCCCCCCCAGCAGTGACTTTTGCCAAGACTGGCCAGCTGAGAGAACGAAAACCTTCCCATAAGGCGCAGTGCTGAGAGCCACCGGCGTGTCCTGCGGGCAGCTGAGCAGCGCTGAGATGGGAGACAGCATTGAGGTCACCGGGGACTGGGGAGCGTGGTTCCCTGTACCGTGCTGCTGCTACCAGCTTCTTATTTCAGCTTCTGCAGGCAGAGTGCTGCTGGGAGAAATCACACTGAGCCAAAAAACTGTATGTGTGCTTGCCTTAATCTTGTTCTTTGGCCTTACGTGATTTTTAGCAATTATCTAAATGTCTTATTTTTTTGATTACTATAAATTCAGGAAAGCTACTGGTTGGGCATGGTGAGTGAACCCAGAAGAATGTAACAAGGTGAATTAAACACGCAGTATTCCTTGCTTGGGCGAGATTTTGAGCAGGGTTGACGTCTTTATCCCTGCACTTGAGGCAGATCAGGCTAGAAGAAGAGACGCAAATCGGTGTTAACTTGGGCGTTTCCTCCCTTTGATCATTCTGAGTCACTCAACCTTCACGGTCTTCTCTTGCTTCTTGGCAAGTGGCTTGTCCAGTGGGGTGAACAGTTCAGTTGCTAGATTATGGCGACCTTTGTTTGTCCCAAAGCCCAAAGAAAATCTTGGACCATGGGTGTAGAGAGCTCCCGAAAGCTGGGGATCTCCACCTAACACTTGCCCTTCGTGTCCTGCTGCTCCTCTGCTTTTTTTTTTCAGCTTAATGGTGAGAAGGTGCCATTGTGGCAGACTTGCTCGGGGCTCTGAGAGGCAACGTGGGCTCCTCTGTCCCCAGAAACCCTGGCGTGGGGGGCTTGGCACTGCTCCCGGCACTTGGCAGTGCTGGTGCTGGTGCAAGGTGTTGGTCCTGCTCTCCGGTGAAGGAGCTGGAGGGGGTCCAGGTGCTCGTCCCCTGGCACGGCAGGGCAGGCAGCTGGCTGGCCGTGGCAGAGCTGGGGCGGCTGGAAGGATGCGCAGGACTGCACCTCGGTACGTTCTGCTTACGCTGCCGTTCTGGGAAGATGAAAGCGTTCAGGTGGATGAGGACGAGCAGCTTCGTAAGGAGGCTTCATAATCGAATCATTCTTTATTTTTGTTGTAGGTTGGAAACTTAATCAGCCATCACAACGCTGGCTCAGTGCTGAACATTCCCCACAGAAGTCCTGACAGGTGAGTGAGCATTCGGATTTCGGTTGCGCAGTTCATTTGAGGTCATGCAGCAGGTTTACGTTGAAAGCAGAATTTGGAAGATCCTGGCTCCAGGTGCAACTGCTGCTTCTTGGACAAGGGGCAGTGTATGAATTGAGCCATACGTTAAGCACCGTCCTTTTAAAAAGGCACAAATATGACACCTTCAGATGCCCCACGTGGCTTGGAATTCACTTGTGGTTTATGTTCCTGCTGTGTGAGAAAATGAGAACAGAGGCGTGCAGCACTTTATCCCTGTCTCGTTTACGAGCAGGGGGAGAATGTCCTGCGAAATGCGAGCAGCTAATTTTAGGCGACAACATAGTTTAAGGCGCCAAGCCTGCCGAAAGGGGAAGGAATGTCGATCCAGCTCGACTGCCTTTAGCCCCGAGCTGCTCTGGGGCGCGGGGTGTTTATGCCACCTCCAGTACATTAAATCCTTCGTGTGGAGACATAATCCTTCGTTGTGGCATTAGCAGAGGTAGCTGTTACAGAAATGATTGTGAAATCCCTCATCTGGTGGGAGAGGAGAAGGAGGAGGTGCATCGGGGGTGGTTTGCACTGTGCTGATGCTCTCCAGCCCCAGATCCCAAGGGGCTTTCCGAGTGCTAACTAATTACGAGTCGGAGTTGCCTGGG